AATTACAGTACACTGTACAAAAGCAAAAATGCATCTGATACGTAGCTCCGCTACGTAGCGATGCAGACAGAAGCGTGTACAGTATGAGCCAATCAGTGTCAGTAATGACAGAGCATGCGCTGTTACGCAAAAACCGCGATAGAGTGAAGCGGAAGTCGAAGCGTGAAGTGGCGAGGGTTCACTGTACTCACGTATGTTGTTTTTCAGCACATTTTTAATGCTGTTTTTTGTGGAGAAATTAGGTGCCTTGGCTGATATTTGGGCCGGCTTATACAAAAGTATATACGGTAGAATCCCATGTCTCCTCCCTAGCATACCCACTAGTTCTGGGTTTGAAACTGTTCTGAGCACAGTGGTCCTATTGGGGAATGCAGGCAGGGCGCATCCCAGGTCGCCCAAGCCTCAAAGGAGAGTGAGTGCTTATCATACAGACCAGTCCGACCGTGGTGTCCAAACAGGCTATCAAATAGCTGCAGTATCAGGACTTGACCCTTTCGGACCTATTTTCTAGACCTGTGGAAGGACGCCCTCCTGCTGTTCAGCTTCTGCTGTGTGAGCAGTGCAGTGCTGTTGTTTAGCTGCGGCGGGCAGCAGTTTTGTTCTTTTCTCGATGCTGTGGCGTCGGAGTCCACCCAGACTCCCTGGTGGCTACGGGAGGCATTTTAGCAGGTCCAAGTTCCAGTAGACATTCCCCTAACATTGGTGTATGTGGCTCCCACGTTCACCTTAATGTTGAAGGATGTTAAACCTCCTGGTCATTGAACTTCTATCGATTGCCACTTAAACCTATTGCGGCTCCCCTCCTGTCCCAAAGCAGGGGCTGCATGGGGACCTGACTACGGCGGCTTCAGTGGACGGTCTCTAAAAAAACGGTGAGGGAGTCACAGGGACAGGCTGAGACCACTTATAGACTCCAGCTCAGGAAACCCCTGTGGCCTCATCCACGAGCCCTTTACTGCTTTCCCAAGAGTTGATTTCATCCATTGGGAACAGTGCTCACGGGCTGCTTTGGAACAAAGGCTCTGGGAGATTTTAAGCACGGCTGTTGGAGAGTCCTTCCTTACTGCGAGTGCTCACCAGCCAAGAGTGCTGTATGCAGCCATACTGCCAACCAACAGCCGCGCTCAAACTGTCCCGGGCTGCCTTGGGAATGTCACTCAGTGCCGTTCTAAACGAGAGAGAAAAGCCCATTTTAAGTGCTGAGTGGGGGCTAATGAGCATGGTGTGTGGAGTTGAACAAGCTGTGGTAGTGGAATTTGTTGACCTTTTTTATACTCACAAATTGTAAGATCTTCCCCCCTGCCTTTTGTCTAGATTATTCGCGGGTGTCTTCCCTCGGATGGCAGCGATCAGTCTGGGAGGTTTCATCTTTCTCGGTGCTTATGACCAAACCCACAGCATGCTGGCTGACCTCGGCAGAGCGCATTCCTGAACCAGCCGCACGGCCTTCTTCAGAGGGAGGACGGAGCACGAGGACTCCGACACTGGAAACAGGTCTTCTGGGGGCAGGCTTGGCCACAGGAGGTCATCACGCACAGCCTGTGTGCCAGCAAGTTAGAAATGCAATTCTGTCCCCAGGAGGACTTTTGAGCCTTAATAAATAAGTTGTATCATGGTGAGGGCTGGCCCTCCAGAGCTTCATTTGAGCTGTAGCTGGGCTGTTAGTTTCCTGCCACCTGATACGTAGGCACACTAGGCGTCGGAATCGACTCGATAGCAGTAAGGTTGACAGTGAAAACACGTGCTTTAAAGAAAGCAGGGGGGGGTTTTGTATCTAGGGCATGGGGGTATCTCGCGCCCCCCCCCCCAACTTAATAGTCAAAAGCTTAAGATGCACTAATTAAGCATGCTTTCTGGGTTAACCTGGTTGATGTTTTTATTACCTCCACTTAACAGACTGCATTACTCTGCAAAGAACTGTCCTAGGACCCCGTTGTGCCCACTTATGCGGGACTCTGAAAGAGGGCCTAGCCAGCTTGGGGAAACACTGTCTCAATCAGTAAGGTTTATGCCTGGAATTCGAAAATAAAAGGGAAGCAGTGGGGAGGTTGCCACACAGGAATTTTAGAGCTTGACTAACAAGCTCCAGGTTTACAAAAAGACTGAGGGAGAGAGCTCTGGAATCTCCCGGTGTGGTGTCAGTTCTTCCCTGCAGCAGTCTGGGCTGATCATTCTCCTTTTTGGGGAAGAAGGTAAAATTAAAGGCAGGATGGCTGGATTTGCAAGGGACACTGTGGAATCCACTGCAGTGAAGCAGCGCTCTGGTTAATACCTGGAGAAGGATGACCCGGGCACACAGTGAACATTTATAAATGAACCTTTATTAAAAACACTTCAGTGCTATTTGTTAGCGGCTTCGATATTTTACATGGTTTTCAATGTACATTGTACCAAAAATCTCTATAAATAAATACTTTGTACATAAAAGTAAAATACTTCCTCTTTCACATTGCCTCGCAGAAGCAGCAAATTCACATCTGTTGTGGAAGTAACGTTAATCAGTTAGGTGTTGAGGAAGCTCGTGCTCACCTTTTGGAACAGCGATGGCCTTGAACAGCAGGTGAAGCATCTGTCAAGTCACCTTCAGCTTTTGGCCCAAGGAGCTTGCTTTATGAGAGCTTAAGAACCCTTCTTTCTTTCAATTTTATTTTTACTGAATTTCACATTGGCACTCACAAGACTAAGGTTAGCTATGGGTCCTAAACGTGCAATACCCCAGAACCCAGGTCGGGCTGTCTCTTGTGCAGTCCGAGTCCCCTCCTGTCTTTGTGGGTGTGGGGGGGTTAACATGGATACGGGCCTGCGCGGAGTCCTCAGTAGAAATAAGCTAGCCCTTAAAAGGAGAAACTTATTTAATCACCCAAGACCAATGCACTATTTATCATATTGGCAAAACTAAAACATCTCTTTTGAGAAATCCACAGGTAGCCTTTCCGGCTAATCCAAAGCCTCCACGGACACCAACAAGCCCACATTTGCTGTCAGCACAGCATGGGCGTGGACGCAGGGAGGGCGGGGTCTAAGTCCTTGCAGTGGATTCCTGCCCACACTTGGACTTTGTGGGTTCAGGTATCCTTCTCCTTGAACCAGCATTCACTGTGCCTGCAGGAGGGTCTGACCCTCGCAGCTAACCTGGATGGACAGCCTGCCCGAATGTGGTTCTCAGAGACCCCCAATTAAACAGAAATCTGGTATGAAAAATAACATTGCCAAAAAGGTACACTTTTTATTCTGTTAACCATGTGCTGAAGATCAAAATAGCCTCTGTAAAAGATATATATAATATATATATGAAATCTCTGAAAACTCTTATATACACTGGTATCAAATACTTTTTTTGCCTTTTGTACACAATAGCCGCTTTGCATTTCTGTGCTTCAGATGCAAGTCCTCTGAACTATCGCTGTACTTCACATGGAAGTTAAAACTATGTACAAATCCGCGCAGCCCTGCCTACCTCTCCGAGGTGGACGCGATGAGAGCTGAGGCACAGCTTAGATTTTTGGTGCAAAGAGCAAAGGCGCACCCCGTTTCCCAAGGAGCTGTCCAGGCAGTGGGGCAGACTTGGGGCAGGAGTCGCAGGCCTTGGGGAGGTGCCCATTGGGGAGAAGGAAGTGCTGAGCTTCACCGAGGGCCTCACGAGGGCCGGCGCTGCCGTCTGTGAGCTCAGGGCCGCCTGACGGGAACACTGAGGGCAGCCGGAGGTCTGGAGAGGCCGGCGCACACCCCCTCGCTACAGTCCAAGAACCTCCTCCAAGACAGGAAAGAGGAGCGATTGAGGTTCTTCTACCAGCCCCCCCCACCCCGGCACAGTGCATTCCAATCCGTCTGCTGTGGCCGCCGCTGCAGTCACTAAAAACAGCTACCTTTCCCATCCAGAGGTGCTGCTGGCTTTTTCTTCAAGGACGACAGCATTCTGTCGTGATTGCTGGGGTAGAGGGAACCGGGAGCATCGACACAGGATGCATCCATAGTCTCGCTGCTCAGGGTTTGTGGACAATGTTCTTGGTTGTGCCCCGCAGGCTCCTGGCCGCTCGGGGTTCTAGGCTGGGCACCGTCTCTGGACACGTGTTCCTGGGCATGACCATCTGCTTCAGTGCCGCTGTCACTGTGTCCTAGTGGGCCACTGTGCTCTGGGGGGACAGTTAAAGCCCATCAGAGCCAGGCCGCCTCCCCCCACGGCCCAGTGCACACACAGAACAACTTGCCAAAGAGCCCTGTTGCCAGGGTACAGAGACTCATGTCGGTGAGGTTTGACCCTCGGCCTCATGAGTGAATAGAGACTAACTTCGAAGACAGAACTTAGAAAACAAAACTCCAAGGTAGTCACAGGCCAATCAACCCATCTCCCTTCTCAGGCATATAGGTTAACCTGAGTTTGATTTATTTTCAGAAGAAAACCCTCTTCCTGGTGGAAGCCCCCCTGATACCTGTTTGATGTGGGCCAGGGGTCCTATGGGCATTCTCTGTCGTTTTCCAGGGCTCTTTGTTGAAGCCCATGCAGAGCTTGGGCTGTCTGCATGCAACGACGTGAGCGTCCACCGCCGGAAAGAGGAGCACATCTCTCGGGCAAACACCTGCAACAGATTGCCACAGTTAGGGGCCCTGCCACAAGAAAGAAGCCTTGGGGAGCAGTGGGCCCAGGGCTGCTTGCACAGCCTTGTTCGAACGCTCTGTAGAGGGGACAATGACTCTCCAGGAGGCAGCCTTTCAGTGCCCTGTGCAGACAAGCCATTCTCAGAGGGGCAAAACTTGGACTACGGCTGGTATGAAGGGACTTTATTCAGGACAAAGAATTTGTCCCCAAATACTACTGGAAGCTGCCTCGTGAGCACAAGGGATACCCCTCCACCATGCTTTCATGATCTGTTCACACAGCTGCCCAGTCTCATACCAGGCCTGCCTTTTGGCGCTTAGGCCTTACCATTGCTCTCAATGTGTCCGTTGACCTGAAGGCCACCCTCAGTCCTGACCACAGTGTCCTGCCGGTCAGAAAGGGTCCCCTGAGAAGAGAGGTAGCTTGGAACATCAGGTGGCACAATGGTTTCATCTGCAAGGAGACAAGATTGTCAAGAAGCCCAGAGGCCCTCACAGAGCCTATCTCCCACTCCCACTCCCCCGCAGACAGAATGCGGGAAGGAGCATGGCATTCAGAGGGCCCTTGAACACCTCAAGATCTGGGCCAAGCTCACGGAAACAATCCCACAGGACTGATGCACTGACACTCTTGCCCCGCCTCGTTCGCGCCTGACCTGTGTTGGTGACGCTGTACTCCTCGCTCTTTTTCCTGGTGTGGTAGATGATGCACACCCAGACCAGAGAGGTCAGCACGATGCTGCACACCACAGCGATGGTGAAGATGCCCATGCTGGTCCCATCCTTCCTGCAACCCACGGCGGGCAGGACGCTCAGCTGGCTGTGAGCCCGCTCCGTGCCCAGGGCATTGGATATCTCACAGGTGTATCGGCCAGCGTCATCGGCCACCACGTTCTGAACAACAAGCAGCTGGCGGCCAGGGGTGAAGTGGTGCCGCTCACTGAGGTCGAGGGGCTGGTCCCCCTTGAGCCAGGTGATGCGGGGTGGTGGGCTCCCGGTGGCTTTACATTGAAGTGCCACTGTTTCTCCGAAAGACACCACACGGTCTTCCAAGGGCACCACCAGCGACGGGGTTTCTGCAAGAAGGCAGTGCAGGTCTTAAAACGCTTGCTACGGGCTTACCCAATCCTCTGTAACATGCCATGGAAACGCTTCACATGAGCTGCTAATCCCAAAGCGCTCGGGGGATGGCTTCAACACGGAGAACAGTTTCTGGGCCAGAGATCCTCCACTGTTTCTAGAGTGTCCCACTTAAAGGGCCACTCTGACTCGTTTTAACCCTGAACCCTACAAAGATACATCGTTCACTGGCCATCATTTGCTGTTTTAAGACATGGAGCCGTTTTGTTCAAGACAATCTTCAAAAACCAACCCCCCACCCCCATGTCTTTAAGTCAATTCCAACTCAGCCCGTAAGGCAGCAGCACCACCCCAAAGGGTCTCCAGGGTGGTCATCTGACAGAAACAAACTGCTACAGCTCTACTACACAGTGGTTAGTGGGGTCAAGCCAGTGACCTTGTGACCAACAACTGACTGTACACGTCTTGGGGCGTTGCCCACTGTACAGCAGAGGCTACCACGCTTCCTTGCACTGAGCAGTTGCCTCGCCTGGCCCTGCCACACCTTTGCTATGTAAGCAGCTGTCTCTCATACACACGCGCACAGGTGTCAAGAGGCGTACCTAAGACAGTCAGGGTGGCGTTGGCAGAAACAGAGCCGGCGGAGTTCTGAGCAGTACAGCTGTAGACCCCCATGTCATCCACTTTGACATCAGTGATGAAAAACACGTCGTCGTCGGGCATCACGTGCATGCGGCGCTCCCGGGCTGCAGGGAAGTCTGTGCCTCCGTCCTTTTGCCAGGCGATCTGAGGGCTGGGGTGGCCCTGGGCAGCACACTCGAGGCGGGCCATGGTGCCAGTTCGGATGGCAATGTCCTGGGGCATTTTGGTGAAGGATGGCAGCACTAGAGGACACGAATGGGCCAGGTTACAGAAAGCGACACGCAGCCCACCCCGCCTCTCTCCTGCGGCATCAAGGGCTCTCTGGACTACTAGTCGGGTGCTGAACTATGCACGCCCAGGAACAGAGGACTTAACAGTGCCCCAGCGAAGTCTCCCATACCATTCACTGTGAGCCTGGCCTTCTGCGAGTAGGTGGACCCGAAGTGGTTGGTGATGATGCACTGGTAGCGGCCCTCGTGCCCCAGAGTGACATGGCGGAGGTGCAGTATGGTGGTATACTCCATCACCTCCCCGTCCTGTGGGCGGACGTGGGCGAAGTTCTCCATGTCGGCGTTCGCCAGGACCTCACTGTCCTTCTTCCAGGCAAAGGTCATTGGGGAGCTGCTGCTGCTGGCTGCCGAGCAGGTGAAGCGGATGTCCTTGCCCAGCACAGCCACGGTTGTCCCGGGCTGCGTGATGATCTGGGGCTTGGGAAGGTCATCTGTGGGGAGAGGACCCACTGTAGTCACCTGGGCTCTCTGAGCTGCCTGCAAATCCATCCACGATCCGACCTTACGTGGCTCCACCCCTTAGGACAGGGCAGGCCTCACAGCAGCTGTCACAGCCAAAGGGAGGTGAGGATGGAGCTGGAGGGTCTGTTAACTTTTCATTCCATTTCCCACAAACCTCCCAATCCCCACCCCAAACACAGAATGCTCAAGAAAGTCACCAAAGGTTTACAACAACCCATGGGGTATTGTTAAGAACGGGTGAATTTCCACTAGTCCTGGTCTCCCTGTCTCTGCAGCAGCTCTAAAAGTATGGCCAAGCTGCTGGGGAGCGGGATCGGACAGGGTTTAGAGCGTCCAGAAAAGGCTCCTCGGTACAGATCTCCATCTGGTAGCTACGTGGACACACCCCCTTCGCAGGGTTTGCCTTTACCTGGCCTGCCTCTGTGAGCACTCTGCTCCTTTCTAAGGAGGCAGTGGTTTTGATTAGTCAGCTACACAGCCACGGCCGCTGGGGCTTTCATCCCTCAAAAGGAGCCCTGCCGTCTGCAGCTCTTCCCCCCTCCCCTCCCCAGCCCTCAGCAGCTGCCACCACCGCTGTGCACTGATGGCCCTCCACAGCCCAAATGTCCACCAGGGGCAGGTCCACACCCCATGCCAAAGTCCAGCAGCTGGCCCTGGCCCTGTGGCAGAGGCGGGCAACTGAGGTCACATGCTGAGCAGTGACCTCCACAACCATTCTACACCTCGACAATGGGGTCATCTCTCTGAACATAGGGTGCCGGGCTCCTAACTCAACTAGTAGGCGAGTGTCCTCAACTGTTCAACAGTTTCTGAGTTCACTGCAACCAAACTCAGATCCTGCTGCCCCTGGTCAGGAGACAGCCAAAGTCTCCTTCCGATGAGCAGAAGGAAAATTTGGAACTACAAGGAGGTCTGGCAGGAACAAGAGTGCAAGTCAGCATCGGGATTTTTTCACTAGAGCAACTATACTCCAGCGACTTGCTTTTTCTATATTTAACGTTTTTCATTCTTGGGGTTAGAAAGAAACCCTAACCCCCAGCGTTGAACACCAAGTACGTTCCCAGCTTCATGCCAGAGCCCTCCTGAAACAACAGAGCCACCGTCTCACCTAACTCCTGCTCCCTTCTCTGTGCACGTGCTCCAAGAACCTCGACATCTCCCAGTCAGGAAGTGCCACGCGGTTTCAGTGTGTGGCTCACTGCATGCAGCAGCTGCTCCAGCCCCAGGAGGCCCGCCACGATGAAGAGCTCCTCCCGGCCTCCCCCTTCACGGACAGGAAACCATATCAGCACTCTTACCACACACAAAACTCTCCAAGGGCACAGAGAAGATGCTCTGGCCCTTTAGTGACAGCGGGTGGGCGCAGGTGGCTGTCACAAAGGCTTGCAGCGTCCTCCCCATCAACCAGGTGGGCAGCCATTTCAGCTGGCAGTCACACAGGAAGCTGTCACTGCTTATGTGGCTGAAAGAAAAAGGGAAGTGGAGGCTTGCGGGTGACCACAAATGGGTGTCATCAACCCACATAACCACCAGCTTTCAACGTCACAGAGCACGTTTCCCACTCAGTGACCCAGATCAGTACCTGCAAGCTACCTGCGATTTTACTTAAAATGCAGCTTCTGGCTCAGAACAGGGAGGGATCCACTGGCTCCCCCCCACCCCCTTCTAACCAGCTCCCAGGTGATGCTCATGCTGTGTGGGACCGGGCAATAGTAAAGACAGCGAGCTGACCCATCTTTAAGGCAAGCACTGTCCATGGCCCTGGAAACACCCTCTCACGCTGGTGGGGTGAGCTAGCAGTTACCGTCCCCTCTGATGGTGAGCTACGTGGGAAGCCTGGCCGTCAACTATGGCACCAAGTCTAGGAGGGCTCCCTGCCTATGACGCTGCTAGTTTTCCATTTGGTTAGCCTGCAGTTTCAGACTTCCACACTGCACCTGGCCAGCGCGTTTCTCTGGTTGGCCTAGATCTGTACGCCTGCATCATTCAGGAGGCCGCAGGGTATAGCCCCGCTCCCTGTAGCGTGAGTGAGCTGGTGAGTTCATGGCCACCGCCGGGGAGCAGGAGAACGTACTTCGGTTTTACACAGCTTGAACCACCACAGGGAGTAGTGTCCTTTTCCTCTCCCAGCACTAAAGATAAACCTTTTAAACAGAAATTGGCATTCGCCATCTCGGCAGGCATTCCTTCCTGAGGAGTCTGGGAAGAAAGTCAACCCAATGCTGAATGACCTCAAGGCTGTGCGCGAGCGAATGTTGGCCACCTCATGGCAAGGGAAAGACCCAGAAAGCACCCGGGTCTCCCTGTAACAAACTTCTGTGGCACATGGTGGTCAAAGCGATTAAGCTTGTAAAGTCCCCAAACACAACCTAAGTTAGTATGTATCAACGGCCTCCTTCTCCGTCCACCATGTTCTCTGGTCATCAAGGCAGCATGGCCTGGCCCTCGTCTTGCTGTACCACTGCGGCTGCTGGGTGACTGAGGAATGAGGAAGGGGTGGGGTGTGGTACATGTGTGTATGCACACAGTGTTTGTGTGGTGCGTGTGTTCAGCCAGACAATCCCTGAAGTCCTGCTGTTGCTACTCGATCCCAGGTTAACCCCAGAAAATATTTCCTTTAAGACAAATCATTTCTCTCAAAGCTGGCCCATAACCAACCGTGTGTTTGATGGGCAAGGAGCGCTCTGCTTGGAGACACTTGGGGTGGGGGCGAGGGAGCATTCACACAGGAGAACATGGCAGCTTCTCAGCAGGAGTTGTGTGCGAGTGGTGACGACCAGACTGCCAGTTCTCAGACCTCTGCAGCCCGGGTGAGGAGCCAAAAGGACTCTGACAAACGCCTCTGACCCCGCATCGAGGTCAAGGCTACGTTGAAAGCCTCGCTAGTGGCACTGTACACCCGAGCTTTCAAAGATTCCCACTAAGTCAAAGCACAGCCTCCTCAGCTACACAGGCTCTGCCTTTCCAGGCCCGCCACCCCTAGCCATCCCAAGCTCGCTGGCTCACACCGTGTGTTTCTAATCACTTGTGGAAATTTACCCAGAGGAGGACTAAGTGGCCAGTACAACTGCGTTGATCCAAGGAACGAAGAAAATGACCCAATGGAATTAACCGTATCTTCTCCATCTGAGGCCTGGGCCAGGGCCAGCCACAGCTGGGTACATGTAGAGCCTGCCGGGAAAGCCAGGCAGAGCTGCAGAGGCACGTGGGGCCCAAGGGCCGACCTAGTTCTTCACAATCAGAAAACCGTCTCAGGAAAACGTAATTTTCAGGCAAGCCAAAAAAAGAAGAGTATCTGCTAGCCCCTTTCTTCCCTCTTCCCATCGAATCCCATTCGTACTCTGTGAAGAGTTTCAGAGAGAAGCACCGAACCTGCGAGTGTACTTAACACTCTCACGTCACCCACCCTCCTCAGATGGTCTGAAACCAAACAGTCAGCCCTCCAGTGCCACGGAACTAGCTACTAAGTTCAAACACTGTATCTGAAAAGCATGGCCCTTCCAAGAAAAAGCCTTCTATCTTGAGACACTTGACTCTCTCAGAAAACAATGTCAGATCCTCTCCTCACCCAGAGAGGGTCACCGGGAGCCTGGCTGGAGTTTTCCAGACTGGGGTCGCAGGGCCGCCTGCCTACTCGGCACACAAGAATGGCAGCTGCCATCCTGTCAACATTTGGAGGAGCCCAAAGTCACCCCCAAGGAATCAGGTTCTCCTCTGGGAAAGGGAAAGGAGGGTCGGGTGTGGCCACTCTGCTGGAGCCTGTCCAGCCCTTGTCACCTTCGACAAGGTGCAAGTTTACCCATCACCACAAAGACATGGCCATCCCTTATCTCTGACCATCGTGCTCTTTAGAGAAGGCAACTTGCTGTAAGCCAGTGTTTATCAACCTGTGGGTCAGGAACCTCTTTGGGGGTCAAACGACCCTTTGCGCAGGGGTCACCTGATTCATAACAGTGGCAAAATTACAGTTTTGGAGTAGCAACAAAAAATTTTATGGTTGGGGGGTCACCACAACGTGAGGAAATATACATATAAAAAGGTTGAGAACCACTGCTTAAGCAAACTCAAAAGGTTAATGTTATAACTAAAGGAGTGATTATCTACTTTGTAGAAGAATTTAATTCTCATGTTTTTGAAGGGAGGTTAGCAGCCTGGGGCTGCTGCCCAGTTGGGGGGTAGGATTATAATGACACACAGTCACGCCCACTCGTTTGCATCCTGTCTCCAGCTGCCTTCTGCTACAGCAGCAGAGGTGAGCGGTCAGGACAGAAACACATGTGCTGTGCTGCCTTTTAGGGGAAAGTCTGCGGAGGCCCTGGTCCAAAACTAGTCCCCAGGGGCATTTTGGGGGAAAGGATCTACAACTAGACAATTATTACACAAAGGGAGGTATGGCTGCATTACAGGAGTATCTTACTCTCACACACTCCAGGCTCCTGAGAGCCCCAGGTACTTACAGCTCTTTGAGATTCTTCATCTTCACAAAGGCGTCGGACTGCACAGATCGGATCGCATTCTCGCCGAGGTTCCTGAAAAAGAACACGCTTCACTCACCAAGAGAAATCCCAGGTCCCTTTAAGGGTCAGCCACCCCTTAAACAATTCATCTGTGAGGCAGACACCTGAGGATTTCCGAGTCACAGGTATGAGCCAAACCCCATCTGGGGGGGCTGTCATTTCCACACATTGACCCAAGCCCCTGCACAGCATGGGGGAGGCCTGCTGATTCAGAGAAACCGGAATCAGGAGCAGGGGGTGGGGCTTGAATTGGTGGGTCACATGCTGAGGTGTCAGCATGGCAGTAAACATGGCCCTTGGGGGGGCTATGAGGGTGCAATGGTGGGGTGGGGGCAGTAATTTCTCCAAATACCAGTTGTATGAATTGGGAGCCCACCGAGTACCACATTTTCTGGAGCTAGCTGGGGGTTTTTTGCACAGGCAAAAACAAAGGCCAAAGCTGAAGCTGCCTTTTAATGAGAAGGAAGCAGCTGGCACTTCCACACAGCCCATTTCTCGGTTTACAAAGATGCAATTAACTTGTAGCAGAATTCCCGGACATTCGCATCTTGGCAGGGCTGGCACGATACTCACAGGTGCTCAAGGCTGTCCAGCCCCGAGAAGGCCCTCTTAGCCACGGACTTGATCTTGTTTCCAAACAGAGTCCTGCAGTTTCCAAACACCCCGAAAGGGCAAGGAGAGGGGGGTGGGAAGAAAGAGAATACACAATTAGGGTCGTGCTATCTGATACGTCTGTCCAGCACGACGCAGGTGGGAATCTGTGCTGTGCTAAGATGAAGGGGCGGAAGTGTGCGTGCCTTCCCCTCTCTGAAATGAAATACTTTGATCTTTGTTAGAATTTTGCTGTGATGACAGGCTGGAATTGCATGCACCATCTCCCCTAAAGAAGACCCTCTGCTATGGCAAGTGGAAATCACTGTGCCCAGGCCATCTCCAAGGACCACCCAAGGGCTGGAAGGGAGGGGTCTCACAGAGGAAGGGAGCCAGAAGGAATTCAGAAACTGAAACTGCTGCCCCATTTAAAACCTGCATTCCAGGGTATAGCTTCCCCACAAACACAGGAGAAAAGGCGTGCATCAGGATGGCCCGGAAGGCCGGCCATGTTGGCAGGCAGGGTGGGGACCTGCATTTCCTTGGGGTTGACCTGGTCTCTCAACAAGACTCCAGCTTTTATAGGATGGCAGGAGGTCCGAGGTTCATTACAGCCCAGGTGCAAGTCTTCCCCACAGGGCATCACCAAACCCCATCCCCCACCATTGCCCAAGGCCTGTAACCCCTGCTTTACACATTCACAAGCAGGGGGCTCTCTCTTCTATGCAATTCCAAGCTTACCCCCCCAAGTGTTCTCAGAAGCCACCATCTGCCAACACACAGCAAATATGCTGCCAACCGCTAGGGCACCCTACTTCTCTGAGGGGCAGAGGGTGAGCTGGGGGACACAGGTTGCAACAGCTGCCCCGCTCAGACTGTTGCTGAAGGCCCACCAGGGTGCCCCATCGCCACAGGCTCCTCCGGCACTCCCGGGAGTGCTCAGAATCGGGCTGGCTCCTGGGGAGCCAGGCAAGTTGGCCCCTCACTGGTAGGGAGAGAGCTGGGCTTGTGTTAGGATCAGGGCCCACAAAGGATAAAAAACGGCAAGCCCAGCAACACCCCAGGGCAGAAAAGAGAACAGAAGGCACCAGGGCAGCCTGGGACATCACCTGGAAAAGGACTCTTCAGAGAGCCCTGCAAACAAACTCAGCACACGTCTCACTCTCCAGCCCTCTTGGTCGGAGTTCCTTGGTTGGTAAAAAGGGGCCAGTGTGCAAAGTGCATTAAGCGAGCTTCCGAAAAGCAGGGGGCACCTGCACTAGGAACACAGCCGGGCCAGGCTCACACCAGAACAGTGGCCAATAACAGGGAGCCCAGGTCTCTCTCACTCCATGCCCAGGGCCACTTCCGGGACCCCTGCCCTTCACAGCCCCCTTGCCTTCCACCAACCCCTCTGTTGAAGTAGCCTCATTCAGCCCTCAGACAAAGCCTGCTCTGTTTTCTGCCTCTGGAGGGTGCAGGGCATTGAGGCCAAGGACCCTTCGCTAGTCTCTCTGAGGCAGGCGGGCAGAGTGCATGTGAAAACGACCTCACTAGCCTCTCTCGTTCGGAAAGATTCCATATAAAATTAACCAGCCCCAGAAACCCAGTAGCCACCCGGATCGATACTCCTACCCACAGAGCCGGCCAGGCTGGGCAGCACATGGGCACTGGACCCCACCTTGCCGTGGCGGGGGCCAGTATGCTCCAGAGACCTGGCAGACTCTCGTTGCACTACCTCCTTTAGTTGGCCATCAGCTAGGCCCAGGAAAAGGCTTTACTTCATGCATTAAATATTAGTCACACTGACCTCCTTTACGATGAAGGCAGGCTGTTCTTTCTAGTAGTGACAAGACAATAAAGCACATTCTCACTAATGCAGGGAAAGGGGCACAGTCCTGGAACCCTAGGGAGCCATTCTCAGTGCCTTCAGGTCACCGATGGAGTTAGAACCCAAGGAAATGGGTTGTCATCACCCTGTTAGGTGGAAGCGGGCTCCTAGGTTCTCACGTGGGACAGGGGCTGAGCTGAGGCTGGTTGGTGCTGACATCTACCGAAGGCTGCTGCAGATGGGCGAGCTGTGGCGGGCCAGAGGGAAGCCGAGGCCTGACTCCTCCAAGAGCCCCGTAAAGTCAAGTCACCTATCACCGCCTCACCCACATCTACCGTACAGCTCAGCGACAGGCTCTCAAGGGCCTAGTCGCTACTGGGGGAGGCTGGCAGTAATGGGAGCAGCCATGACAGGGCAACCCTTCCTCTGCCAGCAAGGAGGGCCATCCTGCTGGCCTTCCACCCTGTGGAAATGGAGAGGCTCCACCTCATAATTCACCTCTGTCCATCCCTAGGTCACAGCCAGGGGCCCAGTGATCTCAGGGGTATCATGGGGGGGAGAGGGCGTAACACATGGGAGTACTCAACTTGTCCACCCAGCCCCTCCAAGTATCCCCTTGAGTGATTGGCACACAGTGAGCCACCACCCATGTATGCTCCGTGGGCCAGGACGGGAGAGCGAGCTTTGGAGCCAACCAATCCTGATCCTGCGTGGCTGTGGGCAGAGGTGCCTGCTCCCTGCTAGACAGCACACGTGCCCTACAGGGCAGGTGGCCTATGCTGGGGGCTACCTGAACTAGCTGTTGCCTATTGTTCTTGGTAATGCCTATTTCCACTTATAATTAGGATTGACAACACAGCACCAAAGCCTTAAAAGCCATCAAGTTTCTCGACACTCCACCATTTCACACAATCCCCATAAACTGAGTCAGAGAGCAAGGTTCCTTGGTGCAAAGAACTACCACGAAATCTGGCTGCACTCAAGCCCGTCACAGTGCATGGAGAGGAGAGCCCATGGGCTGGGGACACAGGTCTTCGGGCCCACAGAAAGCAAGGCCCTAGGCAGCAGTGGAGCACTGACAGCGGTGAGGTGAGCTGCTTCTTTCTTCCTCCACCCAAGCAAGCAAGGACATGGGGGGTGGGGGGTGGGAGGAGGGGCCGGCGCCCTGGGGCACTCACAGCTGGCTCAGGTTGTCCAGCCCCATAAAGGCGCCGCTGGTGTCCTCGATGGTGCCCGAGATTTCGTTGTGGTCCAGGTCCCTGGGGAGACACAGAGCTCATCATCCAGCCCAAGTTCATCTCTTTTTGACGTGTTGCATTAATGCGAAGGGGAGGGGCTCACGCGAAGCTTCCTCTTTACAGCCAAACACAAGGAAGCTGCCCAGAGTAAGGGGTGCCTGGGGGGGAGGGGGGCAGGGCCACCCCGCCCCCTGGGAGGTCTGCTCTCCAGCATGGCTGTCCCCAGGCTCACATGTGAAGCTTCCCCAGGGTCACAATGGAGTTGTGTGTGTGCACGTGTACACAGACTTCTCTACACTGGACCAGGAGGCTGGCAGGCACGTGAAAGTGAGCAAAGGTAGGGCCGCCTCAGGGCCACCTCTGTGGTACAAGTGGTCCTGGACCCAGGCCTGCATCCCCTCGTACTGCAAGTACGGACTTGGGCCACAAGGACCTCTGGGTGTCGAGTCAGATTTAGGACCCACTTGCTTGCCAGGGCCAGAGGGAGGCGGCGGAGCCCTAGGCCCAGTCTCCTCCAGCAGCATGAATCACAAGGCTCTGGAGTCAGCTTCCTCCCCCAACTCCCACCACACCTGGTGGCCAGGCCCCAGCAGACACCTCACCTTCAGCCCGCTCCAACTGCCCAGGAGCTTCCTCTTGCCCTGCCCCCGGCCAGTGGAGCGGGGAGGGGGCACAGCGCTTGCTGTGACCTTTAAGAGCGAGCTGCGGGAAGAGGCTGTGCTCTCCTTGGCGCCCGTTCCCACTCATCCGGCCCAGGTTGCGGCTGCGCAGCCTGTGAACTGGCCGGCCGGGTACCTGGGCGCTGGTGCTCCCGGCAACAGCCCCTCGCTCATGCGGAAGCCATGGCTCGCCCCACCTCATCCTCCTGAAGCGAGCCACTGCCCACTCTCCTTGGGAAACCCTCTGCCCCTCTTTTTGGGCTTTATGCCAGCAGCCACCTGGAAGTCCTGAAAAGGCAACAATTGACAAGTTTTATGGTGGACGTTCCAGAAAAGCATCCTGCCTTAACTTCCTGACACCCCACTTAATTAGGGACCTAGAGGGAGATGGCTGTTCTCAGCCTCACACTGTTAAGTGACTCCTAATGAGGCATAAGGAAGGTGGCAGAACTCCCAGCCCCAGCAGGCACACAGCAGGTGTGTGTTGGAGAGGTTCAAATGCAAACAGGCCCCAGTCACTGCCTGATGAAAACACCCAGGACCCCAGCGTTCAGCAGGCGCACTGTGGGAAGAATGACCACGTGCTAACAGCCGCTTTTTCAACTATCTGCATCAGCGCCCTGCAAGGGAGCGAGGGCCGCTCTTCTCAGCCGGCACCCTTTCAGTGGATTGTGGATTCTGCACCGTTGGCAGCAGGCCGGTTGGCAGCAGGCCTTTGCCCAGGACGGAATAGAAAGGAGTACAGTGGCTGGTCTGCTCCCTCCCGCCCCCTTCCTGCTTCCCTCAGCCTCTCAGAGCAGGACCTACAGGACACGCAGGCTTTTGAGTCCCTTGAAGGCGCCCTCCGCGATGTGGCTGATGGAATTGTGGCTCAGCCGCAGGGTGTTCAGGCTGCTCAGGCCGGCCAGGCTCTCCTCGTCCAGCCGGCTGAGGTTGTTGAAGGACAGAACCCTGCGGGAGGAGGGAGGCAAGCGTCAGCGCGGGCTCCTGGGTATGGAGCCCCTGGCACCAAGTCTCAGTGGGAAGGCACACTGTGTACGCACGCACGCACGCACGCACACACACACACACACACACACACACACGCTCTCTCCCTTAAGTACCCAGGGATATGCCACTAGAGGCTCCAAATCCACACAGACCAACCCGTGACGAGAACCACTAAACTGTAAGGGCTGCATAGGGTCATGGGTCGCACAACCCGCTCAGGGCCTAATTCCTTCATGCTGGGGCCCCTGGCTGGTCGCCCTGCCCTGCACAAGATCCACAGCCCAGCAGCTTAGCCTCCCCAAATCAGCCAGCAGAGGGCACCATAAGCTCTGCTCCTTGGAGCCTTCCCTGGGTAACGCTAGGCCCCAATGTAATGCTATGCGCCCGGCTCCCTTACTGGCACCTCAATTAGCTTCCAGAGTGGCCCACTGCCTGCACCCAGGCAGGGAGTAGACCCCAACAACCGCACCCTTGGCTTCCCACAGCCACTTCTGGCTGGCTGACACAGCACCCAGCTGGCAACTTGGTACATGTCATTTGTCTTTGAAAACTGGGAAATGTGGACTGGGGCAGGAAGAAGGAAAATAAACTCAGGGAAGATTGATGAATTTTTGTAAGACTTCAGGGAGATACATGCTTCACTCCTAGAGCAATAAGTCATCACACAGACATGGCAGCTGGTCAAAAGTACACCCTCACCTGCATTTACAGAATTCAGCTCAAGGAAAAGGCAATCCTAAATCGGGCTCTGAGCAAAATGTTACTCTGCTCCTTTTGTGGGGAACAGCAGACAGCATTCTTGGCCTGAACAGCTTCCGCCTTGGGGTGTACACACCCTCTGCTACCACAGACCCAGGGAACCCCATGATTACACTGGTCAGGCTCAGGGTACCAAGATGATTTCCCCTGCTTCCCCACCACTTCCAGCCCTGGCCCACAAAAAAACACAGCCTAGAGGTGCTCTGGTGCTATAGTAGGTATGCATCAGGCAGAGATCCTCAAGGCCAGCACTTCAAAACCATCAGCAGCTCCATGGAGAAAGACAGGCTTTCTACTTCCATAGTGTGTTAGTGTCTCAGAAACCTCTCCGAGTCGGCATCTCGATGGCAGTGAGTTTTGGGGGGACGCTCCCAAGGGAGATGTGAATGTTGGCACAGCCCAGGTAAATCTTATCAGAGCTCAAGTGGTGCCACGTGAAAACTCAGGTGTCCATACTGCCTTGATGTGCCCAAGAAGCTAAATACAAGAGGACACCCTGCCCCACCCCACATAGAACACCCTCTCTCCCAGGAAAGAAAGAGGCTGGACTCTTGATTTTTGAATCAGATAATGGTGGATTTACTGAAACACCATGGCCCGGCCTGTAAGCGCGTGTTTAAGGAGGAAAAGGGAGCACGGAGGCACAGAAGCACCAGCTGGAAGTAAGAGCCAGCCCCCAGCCCCAGCCCTGGCCCCAGTCTGCCTGCTAAGTTCAAGAGACAGGAAAGGGCAAGGTGCTCTGTAAGTGATGGCTCTCTGCCGTGAGACGCTGAGCACTGGACTAAGAGAAGGCCAGCCTCTCGCTTGCTAAGACCCATCTGCTAAGGAGGACCAGCCAGCAAACCCCAGGCACCAGCTCCGGACTTCAGTCCTGGACCTGGGACAGGGACACTTGAGAAAGGTATACACACTTTCCCAACTGCCCCCCACCGGCCAATGAAATGTAAACAAGGGACCTTGTTGGTTTGTCTGAGAAGGACGGTGAACAGAGCTGCTCCACCCTCCAGGTCACAGGCCATCTCTGCCCCAAATCCTCCCCTCTGCACCAGAGCCCAGACCACCTCTCTCACCAAGGAGCAAGTGGTGCTCGGTGGAGTCCCTGTGGCACAGTAGGATAAACCAGGAGGCGCAAAGCCTGCCTTCCCAGTGGGGAATGAGTCTCCTCTCTCCATCCCTGGAAACCCACAGGGCACTTCTACTCGTCCCCCAGGGCCGCTCTAGACGTGTGGGTGGGTCTCCCTCGTGTCAGAGGGCAGTGCTGGCTCTTTGTGCAGACGGTCCCCAGGAGGTGGAACCGATCCACAGAGCTTCACAGCAGCAATCTTGGAGATGAAAAGCCAACCAGACGCCAGGTTAGCCTCTGGGGCTTCCCGCAGGTAGGGACCTCCCTCTAAACCAGCCCTTCTCAACCTGGGGGTCGAGACCCCTTTGGGGATCGGACGACCCTTTCAGAGGGGTCACCGATTCATAACAGTAGCAAAAGGACAGTGATGAAGTAGCAAGGAAAACAATTTTATGGTTGGGGGGTCACCACCACATGAGCAACTGTATTTAAGGGTCCTGGCAGTAGGAAGGTTGAGGACCACTGCCCTAAACCAAACCCAACTCACTGCCAGGCTGAGTCGATCCAACTCACGGCAACCCCACAGGACAGAGGAAAGCTGCCCCTATCGGCTTCCACTCTTTAAGGAAGTAGAAAGCAAGCCCTGCCTTTCTCCCTCGGATCAGCTGTGGTTTCAACCTGAAGTCCAATGCGTAACCACTGCACTACCAGGGCCAGGCTGGGCTCCCTCCCTTATCCAAGCCTCCCCAGCTCCCTAGAGCCTTCTGGGCTCTAGGGGACACTTACAGTTCATGCAACTTCTCACAGAAGCTCCAGCCGTCTCGGTTAATGTGGGAGATGGAGTTGTTGCTGAGGTGGAGCTGGTGCAGGGCCGTGAGGCCGTAGAGGGAGCCGCTGTTCACTTCTGTCAAGCTGTTGTACTCCAGGTGCCTGCGAAGACAGCCCGGCCCGCGTGCTGCTGTCAGCCACCAGGTGCAGGACGTGACAGTGCCCAGAGAACTGAGGGGTGGGCTCTCTCAGCCGTGTGCACGTGTGCGTGTGTGCATGCAAAGGGCCTGGGCAGACTGAGAACATCCGGAGGACTGGACAAGGCTTCCTGGAAGGGGCTGTTTTATGATGACCAAAGGAGTGGCCCAGTAAGCAAGGGGGCAGTGGTTCCGAGAAGACAGCGTGGTGCGTGAGCAGCACCCACTAAGGGAGTGGAAAGAAGATAGGAGACAGTCCTTAAAATTGTCAAGGGAGAACCTAGTGTCTTGTAAGGATTCTTCCACAGCGGGGCGACCAATGGGGGTGGGGGCAGGGAACAGAATTCAAAGCAGGCTAAGGTCCCCTGCTTTCGATGACTTGGGCTTAAATTCTGACTTGCTGGCGACAGGGAGTGAGAAATGCAAGTCGGGAGTTAACACAGGGCTGAGGGCAAAGTGCTCAACACGTGCATGACACCAGTGTGGCAAATGCCCTGCTTCTCGACACGGCGCGCACACCCCCCACACCCCCAGCCAAGGACGGCCTGACCCCTTGCCAGGCCTCCCCAGTAAAAGTGACAAATTCAAAGGAGTGTGTGTGTGTGTGTGTGTGTGTGTGTGTGTGTGAGATGTGGGGAGGGTCAGCTGTGGGAGCCCACCCTCACGGCAAAAGCAGGCCAACAAGATGGTCCCCACGCCCATATCCCTCAACCGACTTCCCTGGCCTAATCCACTACCATCTCCCACCAAGGCTTCCCTCACCTGCCAGGCCCCAGTGACTGTGCCGAGCTGGGCAGCACAGGATAGACCCCGCTAAAGATCACACAGTCACACACAGAGCAGGGTGCCCCTTGCCAGATAAGGGGGTGCATGCTCGCACAGGCAGCCCGCAGGGGAGGGCGCCTGGAGGCACTTACAGCGCGTGCATGTTGGACAGCCCCCAGAAGGCGCCGTCTGTCAGCTTGCTGATGGCATTGCGCTGCAGCTTCAGCACCTCCAGGCTGTCGAGTCCCTGGAAGGTCAGGCCCTCGATCAGCCGGATCCGGTTCCGAGTCAGGTCCCTGGGCAGGAGCAGACCATCAGTTCAGAGTGTCCGATGTACACACCCTACGCTGCCCATTCCCACTGTCCCGGCTGAGCTGCCCCAGGGACAATGCCCGGAGCTGAGCCCACATCTCCGACTGACACCGAGCAGGCCACCACTTCAACAGAGGGAGGGAAGGGACACCTCCAGCCCAGCTGCTCACAGCTCTGAAAAGACTGCTGGGAATGGGGTGGGGGTTCCTTCAAGGGTAAGGTGACGGGAGCCTAGCTCGCAGTGGAAATCCTCAAGCCAGGGAGGGTCAGCCCACTGGGTGTCACGACAATCCCACTTTGCAGTCCCAGCATGAACAGCAGAACTGGTTATGGAGGGAGCCCTAGTGACGCAGTGGCTGAAGCACCACCTGAAAGGCTCCTCGGAGTCAAGCCTCTGGGGAATGGGCATGAACTCCCCAGCAGGCTTCCGCCTTTTGGTCCTCCCTAGGGGGGGGCTGTTAGCATGTATGGGGGTGTGAAGCAAACACCCAGGAAGCAGGTGTTTTAGCCTTGAGTCGAGCTTAAGGAGTCTGGGTGGGCTGGCAGTGCTGGAGGAAGGGGTGGAGGAGCACGCAGGGTTGATCGGAAAGCCCTTGGATTTCCCCCAATATTCCTGCAGTGGCTCATGACTCTGCCCGACAAAGTCGGGCACACAGACCAGACCCGCTTGAAGGACTAGAGTGAGCAGGACCACAGCTGCTCTTGTAAGGTGGGGGGCCCACAGGCAGGTGAGCTGGGTCCACCCCAACCTGCTGTGAGTGTGGCAATTCTGTTGTTCTGTGTCCACTAGCCAGAGCTGCGTGCTATTCTGTTTTGTTTTACCTTTTTGCAAATAGGGAACATGGTTCAGATCTTCAGTGAAACTAAATTCTTTTGTGTAAATTTTCTTGGTCTGTTTCAACCCAATCTCCCATATTCCTTTGGGCACAGAGACCTTATTTGTGTCTGGTTGTTAGAAGTTATCCTGCACCCGAACACAGACTGCTTCCGCACAAATGTGCCAGATGTAAAAACCTTGACAACGTAACAAATCAACCTCCCCTGTGAAGCCTGCCTCTCGCTCCACCTCTGACTCCAGTCACTTCCTTTTGGGAATTGTTGGGCACACTGCTGGTCGCAGGGAGAGGCCTTATGGGGCCTTTTAAACAGAACTCCGCCTCTCAGATCGGCAAGGGCTGGACCCACAGCCCACAGCCCACGTGTTAGTGGGTCAGGAATCCAGCCGACTTCCTCACTCGGTTTGGGAACGTGCCGGGCGGCGAAGACAGGCATTCACACTCGGCGATATGATGCAGCCCACAGGCACCAGACCCCGCGCCTGATTCGCTTTGATGAGATGTTGCCAGGGACCATTAATGATGGTTTATGCCCAGCTTTACTGAGGAGGGGAGGGGGGTGGCGTTGGGTACTAAGCCCTCGGGGGAATCTGGCCCCATAAAGTGTGGGCAGCCACACTCACAGCTGTGTCAGCCTGGGCAGCTTGAAGGCTTTCATAGGAAGCTGAGCGATCCTGTTTTTGCTCAGGCGCAGCGTCAGCAGCGACCGTGACAGACCATCAAATGCTCCCAGCTCCAGGGTGCCGATCCGGTTGCTGGCCAGGTTGCTGGCATGATTCAGAGGAGAAAGTGTAGCACTTAGTAGGGGCCTTCCGCCTTTGGGCACACACCCCAGACCCAGCCATGCTGCGAAAACAAGACCTACCCAGAGGGCCAGGTTGCCCGTGAGCACCATCCTGGCCCCCAGCTGTCCCAGGGGCCTCGAGGGAAGCCTGGTTTCCACCCCGGCCCACCACCGGGCATGGGGCTTCCTCCCCACGCCGCCGTGGCCGGGGAATAAAGCCCTGCGAGGCAGCAGGTCAACCGAGTGGCAGGGCCAGGGTAGATCTGATCGTTTGGGTACACGGTCTTTCTTTTTCACTTAACCCTTATTTTAGGACTTAAACAGAAAATGCGTAGAAGTCAGTTCACTTCAACGATTCTGAAACATCCCCTGAAAACGCTCAGCAGAGAACAAGCAGTATCTCGCGGGTATCTGTGTTTACAGGATGGTGGATTCTCAGGGATCCTCTAAGAATCCAGAGAGGGCATGTATGCACCTTGTACATGTGTTTGACCTCAGATACATTATAATTAGAGAAGGGAGGGAGAAGGAAGAAGAGAGGAGAGGGGCTGTTGGGGCAGCGTTCCCTCTTAGGACCTCTCTTTAAACACATACAGAGTCTTGGGCATGGGGGAGTACGCAGGAAGATCACAAACCATGGGGAGCTTCCCACAGGGGGGACAGGCACTTCTGGCTTTTCGGCATGGGGCACACCAGGATGCTTTGCAGATGTGGTGGACTGACTATCTGTGTGATGAGGAGACACTGGCCAGGGTCTGCCTCTTGCTCTCAGGCAGGGAGGGAAGCCACTGACTTCCGTCCCAGAAACTGGTGGTTTCTGTCTCAAACAAGAAAGTGTCTGGTGGCGGCTGGGCACCTTTTCGAAGGCCCACATCTGCTCCCAGGGCCTTGGCCTGCCGATGCAGCAGCTCTGTGGGGGGTCTGAGGAGGGTCACACAGGCCATTCAACCAGCCAAGTAGCTGTGAAACTCCCCGGGCATGGTGTCATGCGATCCGATCTCCACCCAGAAGCATGTGGTTCCTTCCCCAAATCACCTTTAGCCTAGGGCACGTGGGCATGGACAGACACTAACGTTCAAACTTCCCGTCTACTTTCTGATGGGGGAGAAGAGACCAAGGAAAAAACCTGAAAGGTGCAGAGAACATACCAGATGGAGAACCTGCCCTGTCCACCGGCTAGGCACACAGGCCTGGCCTGGGACGGTGAGCAGAGTACCTGATAAGGTAAGGCTCCTCAGAGACCTCTCCCTCCGACAGGAACCAGATGAACCCCTCAACTCTTGCCCAGCTTTCCCGGGAGGCAGCCAGAAACAGGAAAGAAAACAGGCTGAGTGGTCCAGGGGGCCTGTCTGATTCCCAGCTCCTCTCTTTGAGCAGCATGTCCCATAGGCCAGCCACCAGGCTGTAGGGATTCGGAGAGGAGAAGGCACGGGCGTGGGCCCTGGCACTGCCCCCACAGACCTCAGCGAGGGGCACCCTGCTCCTGCTCTACAGACCTGGATGCTGGGGAAGTGGGGGCCCCACACTTACAGCTCCTTGATGCGCAGTCCATGGGGGAAGCAGCCGCTCCGGACCTCCGTGATGTTGTTGGCGCTCAGGTCCAACACTTCCAAGGCAAGGTACTCCTCCAGCCGCCTCCTCTCCACACTGCGAACCTTATTGTGCTGCCTGGAAACACGCCAGAAGCGACACGGTGGTTTGCTCTTGCGAATAAACCATCCCGAGCAGCAGTTGTCATGGAGGTGACGCGGGCTTGTGGTGGCGGGGTGTTGGAGGCTAGAACTGAGCTCCACGGGGCTTTCAATGAACTCATCACCGGGCCTTCCTTCTGAGGTGCATCTTTGTGGACGTGCACTGTCAACCTCTGAGTTAGTAGCCACTGGGACAAACTCTAAGAAGCGGTTTTAAAACATGATGTTGTCCCATTTCTCTCTGCATCGAGGTTTTATAAACTGGCTGCGTGTCACACGAAGTGGCACCTTCTGTCCCTTCTGTCGCTGAGTTTCTGGGTCAAAGCCTTAAGCAAAGCCCGAGGGCAACAGTGGTGACAGGGGACCACGCATAGAGCAGCATGACATGCCGAGAACATCGGATCTACCATAAAGGATGTGCCGGAGTAACCGTGGGCCCCTCGTTTGGCGTAACCTCATGGCCATCGTCAGAGCCTGGTCCCATTCCCTCAACTACCAGAGCTCAGCCAGCAGCGCGCACCATGCCACACCTACCTCATTCACTCACCACATTTCAGGCCGCACACTCATTTCACTCGCCCGACCCTGAGCCCGGCCTACAGACAGGCACCCAGGCCCAACCAAACCCACGACCAGACTCACGGCCACAGCTTCATCTCCCTCCCGCAGAGAAGCTGGTGGATTTGAACTGCCAGCCTGTGGCCTAGCCCACAGTCACATGAGGGCTCCTTGGGGACAGGGGGTTGGAAGATACAAAGGAGGACAAAATACAGACTATCTCACAGGAAACCTGGACTCCCCTGAGCCTCTTGGCTTTACTCAACAGCTTTGTGCCTTCGCTCTCCGTGTCTCAGTTTCCCCATCTGAACAACGGGAACCGCCTCTCACCAGAGACAAGCTGGTCTAGCCTATAACCCCAGCCCAGCACCTGCTGAGTGCCTACAATCTGACTCATAAAAGAGAATGCCCCACCTTAAATCCCCCTTCACAGAGCTCTGGGGGCATGGCGTAGTGGTTATGCATGGGGACGCTTAGCTAGGTCAGCCATTGGAGACCACTGGTCAGCTCTGAGGGGGTTAAGAAAGGCTCTTTACTCCCCATAAAGAGTCGTAATCTCAGACGCTCACAGGGCAGTTCTACCCTGTCCCGTAGGGTCGCTGTGAGTTGGCATCAACTCCATAGCAGTGAGTTTGGTTTTGATTCGGAAATTGCCCCCTGGTCAAACCCACAATCAAACCAACTACCCAACATTGATCAATCAGGACAAAGAAAAATGCTAACCCAAGGTGGAGGAACTGCCCCTGGCGGGGGTGGCGCTGCCTGGCAGTACTCAGATGCGGCAGGCTCTGCTGGGTTCCAGCAGCATCACTCTGGCCAGTTTCTGCAGAAGTCTCAGCGGCACCGGCCAATCAAACCATTTGTGAACGCAGCACAAGCAAGCCAGGCGTCACTTACCCAGTGGCATCTCCTTTAAACAAACACTTGAGCAGATCTTTTCCAACAAACACAAACAAGGCCTTCTTCCCAGAAGCCCGGGCTACTTCTCTGTCCCCCACTGCCCCCCAATAAGTCTCCCAGGCCCTGGATTGGGATCCCCATTTACAAGGGCACAACTACAAGAGGGCGCCCTGGAATGAGGCTGGGATGGCTTCCATCACCCCCTCGCCCTTCCCATGGCTACTCCCCCCTCCAGTGCTTTATTGAGCTCTTCAGTCTCTGACTGGGAAAGAAAGGGAGAGAAAGCCTTTGTGATGGAAAGTGTGGGAAGGAAAGCACAGGAAATCAGGGCTACAGACCTGGGCCTTCTCCAGGACTGTGAAGGCAGCACTGGCAGCCAGGGCCAGGGGCCTGAGTACAGGAGGAAGGGGTACGTGGACCCAGAGTGTGGACAGGTGCCCGGTGGCATGGGTGAGACAGCTGTGAGCCCTGGGAAGGCCCCCACCCACCGGCCCCTGCCTCCCCCACCAGCTCCTTGTCTTTTTTCTTCTTTCTTTCAGTCTGTTATTAACTAAATCCAACAGGTCCCAGGCCCCAACTCTGGATAAAGGATGCTGGAGGCAGACCGGTCTTGTTCACATGCCAGGATACGTTCCCACTGCAGCAAGAGCAGCGCCATGGAGATGAGACGCCATCGCGCCCGGCGGGGTGGAGGGAACCACGGAGCCTGGCACCAGGAGGCCCCTCCAGAGGAGTCTGCCCGGAGGAAGGGGGCGGGCAGAGCAGGCAGACAAGGCCACACAGGTGATGCTGCCCATTGGAAATCTACATCACGGTGGTACAAGTGAAGAGTGACTAGATTGGGTGGGGGGGGTACTTTTCCACAAGACTGTTCTGCCTACTGGGTCATCTGACATCCCTAGCCTACATGTAGCATCGTCTCGTCCTGGGGAGCACACTTAGAGTCACACACAACACTGGATGAGGGCTGCTTCTCACTGAGGAACGAATGCGTCATTCCCCACAATCCTGCTGCCCTCGCTGGTCCTGCCTCAGGACCCTTGCACTTCCCCCAGGGATCACACTGATTATGCAAATCCCACCTTCCCAGTGAGGTCTTCCCCAGCCACCCCCCGTACACACACACACAGGCACACACGCACTTCCCAGCAAACACACAGCTTGTCTGCTTTTCCTCCAGTGGTCCTTTGTTAATATCTGATGCACTTCTGCATGTTGCTGCTTTCTTACATGAAACGTATCAACTTGGCCAGAATGTGGCTGGAAGAGGTGGAGACCTGTCTGTCTGGGTCACTGCTGTGTCTTCAGCCACTGGGATGGTATGGGACCTTAACACGTGTTCAGCATTGGTTGGCTGAGTCACAAAACAATGAGAGTCAAGGGGAGGATTTCAAGGGAAGGATTTCCATGACTGTGAGCCCGAGTCTGGATTTGGAACGACCAGCATTTAGGTGGACACACAGAGGGGCAGCGAGTCCAATGCGAGGAGGTGAGGTGAGAGCACTGTGCCACTGGGCAGGACTACCCCTGGAAGCAGACTGCAGGAGCGCAGCCCCGCCGCCCTGTCCACAGCTAGCTGGGGGCAAGTACATTCTGCACAGCGCTGCTGTGCCTGCAAGTCAGAAAGCTAACCACGCACCTCGATGGCTTCCCCTCCCCAACCAGAGCAGGAACCCATGTGCCTGGGTCCACAGGACACAGCACTTAGTTGGGGGTGGGGTAGGGCATGGTGGCTCCTTTGACCAGATATTGAGGCCTAGTTCAGGGACTGGTAAAGGATGTTGGAGAACGCATGAGAACACAGTAGGATGAGGGAGCCCTCTGCCACAAGTCCATGCAGGCAGGCAGGAGATGCTCCTCTCGCAGGGACACGAGAATGCACACGGGTGTACATACGTGCGTGTACACACACACACACACACACACCGCCCCTTTCAGCTTCAAACATGAAAACACCCATTGAAGCTGTCACGGGCCCGGGCGGCCTCAGGGAGCCACACTGCTGCCCAACAGGCTCAAACCCACAGTCTGAGCGGCACGCGGAAAGGCTGACGTCTGCTGTGACCCCAGCTCAGGCCGGGCCAGTACATTCTCCTCCTCGCCAGATCCTTCAGGGTTAGAGGACATGGCCAGTGAGTGAACAAGTGGACACCTGCTGGTGTTCTGCTTCGATGAGGCTGTCCACGTGCTTAATGCCCCACGTGAGCCAGGTGGTCATCATGCCAGGCCTCTGGTTCCGGGAAAGAGCCACACTCGCTCTTACAGTGGGAGTCTAATGAGGTGGCTGCCGTTAGCTCTACAGGGGAGGAACCCGAAGCTCAGAATGAGAACTAGCTGGAGATCCCACGACAGGAAGTGGGGGCACCACTCCAGTGGGGAAGGGGGGAGCCTCTCCCAGCGATAAACCGTGGCTACATCTACATGCTGGCCAGCTGGCTCTTTGGCTTCGTGCTTTGATGCCAGCTTCCCAGAGTCCTGCCTAAGTCATGACTTTGTGCTGGGCCGTCAGGCTAAGCCTCAGTGAGGGCAGCCTAGTCCTCAGCCTCACTGACACAGTTTCACCGACCTGCCTTCAAGGCAGTTTGTAAAGCGGCACCGAGCCCCCACTTCGTTAACAGAAAGAGGGTGAAGCGGGGGCAGTGCGGTGCATACTACTTCTCCCTGGCCCCTGCAGAGGACACTCCAGCTTCTCTGCAGGTTCGGGGCCACCCCGGGGAAAGCACCTGCTGGCCAGGTCACGTGGCACGCGCCTCCATCGGCAGTGTCAGCTTACACCTTGGGCTGCCCTCTGGGGTGAGGAGAACTTAATACAGCAGAAGTCTATTAAACCGACACCTGTTACGGGCTTCAAAAATAAAACCAGTCTTCAAAGGCAAAGGGCACCCAAGATAAGCTCTCCCCGCTTGGTTACGTTTGCAGAGCCGATGTGAAATTAGACCGTAAGCCAGACGGAGGCATTTGAAACCCTTGTCTAAGCCTTCTTGCAGTCAGTGACGGTCCGTGAGCGCCGCTTGACAAGGTATTCCTGTTAGGAGTGTACACGCTCTGAGGTCACAGCTAACAAGCAGGAAGAAGGAGATCAAAGGCATCCGGACCTCGGAGGGTCAGATGGTAACAGCTGGTTCCTGCGTCCACGGGGCGGCAGGCCCGCCTGGGGAGGGCCTGCAGTGGGCGCAGAGGCTCTGTGGATCCCTCAGCCCCGTCACGGCTGCTCAGGCCTGCCGCGGTGGCACAGAGCAGCCCCGGTGGCACAGAGCAGTCCCGGAGACGGGCACGTGCGCTCCAGGGCGCTGGGCAGTCCTGGGCTACACCACAGGAGCCGTGCACTGGGTTCCCTTGGGCAGGGACCCAGATCTGAAGGACAGCGCTGTGGCTCAACCTTTCCTCTGCACCGGGTTTGGCGTCCAGATGGCCGCATACAGCTGATACAGCTGGCTACTGGCAGGGAGGTTGGTGCTTCGAGTCTACCGGGTACATCAATCATGTCTGAGCGGCCACAGCCGTTGAACACCCTAGGGA